TAAACTTAATCTAAATCTTAGGCTAAATCTTAGTCTAAAGGGTGGGGGAGAAGAATAGACTTTTTGCTTTTAGACTGCTTTTAGTTTTAGATTTAGATTTAGATTTAAGTCTAGCAGAGGCGAGGAACAGGCCCCAGGGGTGTGCAACCTCTATCGGCAGTGGGCCGCAGGGAAATGCGTGACTCTCGACGCGGGCCAGAGAATGCAAAAGAAAAGGCTTCCCTCTTTGGTCCTCGGGGCATACGAGGGCTTAAGGTCGCACCGATCGGCCGATCGTCCTTACCTCCTCCTCACCCCGAACGAATTCCAACGTCCAAAAATAGCCTTTGGAATTTTTGGATGCGTGGCACCGCCCGCGTGAGGAAACATCAGAAGAAAGGACTCGGTCGATTTCTCGTCACTGAGGGATGACCAAAGTCGTGATGGGCCTTCGGCCGCAAAGAAACTCATCTGTCGTCCCGTGATGCATTACTAAGTCAGAGGGTCGGATGGAACCAGTCGGAATGGTAAAAAAAAAAAAAGGATCCGATCTTCGTAAATCTTCACTACGCTTCCGACTCGTTAAATCTCTTGCGGAACGGAGCCCCTTCTGTAGGGGATTCCACTCGAACGTCTCTTTTCGACCGTCCCGGGAAATCGTTGCATGGCGATCGCACCCCGACGATGGCGAACGAAAGAGAAAGCGTCCGATAGAAAAGGTGGAGCGACGGACAGCGAGTGGCATGGCGAAGGAGCTCCAGGGCGTTTTAACCCATTTGCGACTCGAAAGAGTAAAAAGAATGTAGGGAGCATCCTGGGACTCCCAAGCATCCTCGGACTCCCATTGCATCCATGGACCATCCATGGACCATCCATTCCATCCGTGTTGAGAGCGGCCGTTGTAGCAATAGGACGCCACCAAAAATCTTTTTTTCCACGATCCTTCTCTTACAAAACGTCCACCCCCCCTGTGGATTTGGAACCAGGCGGATGTCCCCCCAGGCGTTATTTCCACCTGTTGGAGCGATATCCACCCGGGGGAAAATTCACCTGGCTCCAAATACGTGGGCGCGAATGGATGGGTTGATTTCCACCGAGGAGGACGTCCACCTGGTTCCAAATCCACCCCCTATCCACCTGGTCGTTTGACCAGGTGGATAGGGAGTGGACGTTTCGTTCGGGTAGCATGCGTCTAACTCACTCGTGACAAAACGAAGCGGTCGATGAACTCCTTTTCTATCTCTATCCATTAAAGTGGCTTTCGCAGACTCTCCTGCACGATTTTTCGTCATTCTACGAAGAGTCGAGGAACGCTTGGAAAGTGGGACGCCGAGCCGTGTTTCCGGTCGGCCGTCTCTGTCCGAATCGGAACGACGTTAAGAGCAGCTTTCCATCCCTCTCGGCCCCTCGTCGACTGGCTCCGTCTCGAAACGGACGGTTCCCACGATCCGATGTCGAATGCTCGAGTTCCCATTCGACACGGCAGCCTCGAAACCGGAGAAACGCGGGATGCATTCATGGACTCCACCCGTCCTCGAGTTTTTGAAACGTCCTTTACTCTCTTCGCACACCGTCGTCACGGAGAGCATCCATCGACGGACGTACCCGTTCCACGGGCGAAAACACGGACGACGATCGAACGAAGAGGAAGAAACGTCGCCGGAGAAGCTCGGGAGGTCATTTCTTGCGGCGCCGGAGGACGTCGGCCGTGATGTCCTCGAGGATGCGGGCGTGGCAAGGATTCTCCTTCCTCTTCTCGGGGACGATGAAGCTCTGGACCAGTTCCGCTTTCACTTCCTCCAGTCGCGCCAGCTTCCGGGCGGCCGTCAGGTACTTCTCCGCGATCTTCTGGACGTACTTGAGACCCTGGTGGCCTCGGAACCCCGTCACCTGTCGCATCGCAGAGGTCAGAGGTCACCGAGCGAACGAGAATTCCGCGGAGGTCGAGTCCCGATTTCGCCTCGAAACCGTCGTCGCGAAAAGCCGAGAATGTTCGTTTCCGAGAAAGAGCGGTCGTGACGTCGGGGACGAGCCGACTCCCCCGGGGACGTGTCGTCTTCCTCTCGTGCGACTCGTTTTCTAAACCGATTTCCTCACCGTGCTAATTCCCGACGAATTCGACTCGGGAGTCGACGATTCGCTCCTTCTCTTTCTTAAACCGTTTTTCGGGTGTCTCCGATGAGACTTACCGGTCGAAAACGGTTCGGCACGTACCAAAGACGAGGATGCGACCCTGCAGCCGTTCCGAAAGTTTCGTACGTTCGCCCCGTTCGAGCGCTCCCTCCGCCCGAACGAAGATCGCGAGACCGATGCGAGGCGAAATTCCCGTCGGGATCGTTTGGAAAGAGTACCTTGGAGTCGGAGTTGTCGATGGCGAGAGCCTCCCTCCCGATGGCCTCTTGGACGAGAGACGGGAGCCAGCCCTGGAGGTCTTGCTTGCTCCCGGCGGCCAGCTGGGCGTAGATGTGCAACACGGCCTCGCGAGACTGGCACGAGAACGCCAGGCGCCCGAGGGGGGAGAACAGGGCGGTCGCCGCCGTGGTCTCTTCCTCCGTCACCTGTCGCCGGACCGAAAACGTCCTCCGTCACCTTTCGCCGGATCGCAAGGGTTCGCTACGAGTCTTCGTCCTCGAGAACGCGCTGCTTGCGGGCGTCGAGAACGAACGAGTTCGAGAACGCGGATGCGCGAAGCCGAGCGGAGACGAGGACGAACGTGCACGATTCCACCTTTTTCGAAGGAGCAATCGTACGTTTTTCTCGCACGGAGAACCGACGTTTGAAGAACATCGAGCTTCGTGTCGGGGATTCCAGACACGAAGACTCGAGCTCTCTGGTGGAAAAGCGAATATTTCTCGATCATCGGGCAGAAGAACCGACCGTTAAAATTTTTAGGATGGGATGCTTCCCGTTTTCTCACATCATCGACGACACGCGTACATTTAGAATGGCACTCCGGATCGAAACATGAACGTGGCTTCCGTTGAAACGTGCAGCTTGCCGACAGACCATTCCGATTTACTGCAAAATGTATTTAAAAAACGCTTGTTTTCCGTTTTCATAGTTGGGGAGAACAGTCGTACGCCTGCCCAGCGTCGAACTCGTATTTTCCCACACGTGGTCGAACTATGGGGGGGGGGGGGGAGAAGATTACACGAGAATCCAGGCCTCTGCCGATTCGATCGCAAAATCAAAAATTCCCCCTCTGGCTTCGCCATTCCCTTTTCGATCGCGTCGTTGCACGTCACGACGAACGTCAAAGACGCGTCACTCCAGGGGGATCCTCGATATTCGCGAGCCGCAGATCGAAACGGAGGGACGATTTGCGCACGGAAGAGCGGAAACGGTCGGACCTCGATGCCGTTGATGGAATCGAGACGGCGGGTCCCGAGTCTGTAGACGACGTAAGCCCTCCACTGCGGATGTCGGAGGACGGCGTTTCCCTCCGGGTCGACTTCGAGGCAGTGGACGTTCCTGAAGGCGGCCAGCGCGTTCACCTGCCCCAGTCGGTCCAGGCAGGTCGAGGAGAAGCGGAAGCGAGTGATGCCGGGATGCGCGTCTCGGAGTCTCGGGAACGCCGACACGCACTCGGGATAAGGGGTCCAGCGGAACTGGACTTCCGTCACCTGAGAGAGAGAAGGACTCCGCGATTCGGGTGCTGCCGATTTCCGATTCCGAAGACGTCCGAGGCGGTTCCGATGCCCGCTCGAAACGAGTGTCGATTTTTTCCCGAATTTTCAGAGAATTTTCGTGCAACGATGGATACGAGAGCGGCGGGAAAGATAAGGTGAATCGTGCACTCGGCAAAGAGATCGCCTACCTTGAGGCCTCTCATCCATCTGGTGTCGAGATGCTTGAGGGCGTCCTGACCGGTGAGGCAGAGAGTGCCGTGACTCATCTCGATCACGTAGTCTTTCCCGTGTTTGGTGATGGTGTCCGGCGCGTTCTTCGTCGCGTCGTCCGTTCCCGACTTCCGCTGCGGCTTCGGATCTTCCTCCGGTCCGTTCGTCCGTTCCGATTCCTCTTCCGCCGCGTCTTCTTCCGACTCCTCCTCGGATTCCTCGGAAGCGGAAGAGGAAGAGGAGGAGGAACTCGAGGAGGAGTCTCGACGGGATTCCGTCCGGTCGGACCGGCTCGGCGGAGTCCCCGGCTGCCGGGAGAACAGGTTCAGGATGGACAGGAGATTCTTGACGTCGTCCGGAGTCTTGAGGAAAGTCTTCTGCTTCGGAGCGGATTCCGGTTTCGCCACCAGAGGATGGAGGCTCAGGTCGATGCGGTTCGGCACGCGCTGGGTTCGCATCTTCTTCGCCGTTTCGGGCCGAGAAGGGATCGGAGGGATCGAAGGGATCGAGGGGATCGAAAGGGGTCGAGGAGAGACCGGAGGGGGCTGGACCGGATCCACCGGACGACGGCTCGCCGCAGCCGGATCCTTATCGCGAAACCCGGATAAAGTCATTCCGATCCGAGACAGCTTCAGGGCCTGATTCTTGATGAGTTCCCATCGCTTCTTGGCGTTGGTCATCGCCTCTTCCTTCAGGTCTTCCCTCTCGACCTCCTGCTCGTCTTTCTCCTCGAGTCGTCGCAGCCGCTCGAGGGCGGCTTCCCGCTTGGAGCGGGTGACGGTGGTGCCGTCGAGGAAGTGGAGCCGAGGGAACACGGAGATGAGGTGAGCCACGGCGTCCGCGTCCCACGACAGAGGGTTGTTGTTCGCGCTCAGCTCCCGCAGGTCGGTGAAGGCCGCCAGACTCCCGATGTCCTCGACTCTACGGAAGGAATAGAGCGACATCGGGTTTCGCTCGGTCTCCGTCGCGCGAAAAGGATCCGAGTCCCGAATCGCGTCGTTTTCACCGCGAGGAAAACGAAGGTTCTCGTCCGCTACGTTCGGACGCGATTCTCGTTCCACGGTCGCATCCGGTCGTACCGTTTTCTATTTCGCGAGGCGGATATCATTCGTGCATCGTACATGCTTCGCGGAACGGAACGCACGGCAAAGAGCGAGACGGCATGCTTCCACTCCACAGTGGGACGAAGACGCATTTTTCTGGCTGACACCCAGATATCTAAGTTATAGACGAACACCCGAGAGTAATACCTAGTTGATAGAGCCAAAAAAGCTCCATTTTCCGACGTAAATAAAGTATCATAATTAAGTAATTAAATATAATTAATGATAATAAGTACGAAATTAGCATATTTCATCATCCCAAAAATTGCGAAAAAAAACTCAGATAGATAATAAGCTTCCTCAGAATAAAAAATATGCATGCTTGTTTCGGTAAATGATACATTTTCGCACATAAAATATACTCCCGTTCCGCAGAAAGCACAAAGCCTTCTATGGAAGATCATTCTCTTCCTACTGTGTTTATCTTAGTACAATTTCAGGTTTTAGTTTCATGTGTTTCTTCATGCTTCGTTTGGAAAGCGAGAAGTCTTGCTCCAGCCAGGAATAATTGTTTTTCAGAAACCTTTCCATCATTGTGGAGCTTGCTGCCTATCTCTTCATAACTTCACTGAAAAATCGCGAAATTGATTTCTGGAAGCATTGCATGGCAACTGTTGGACATTCCTGAATTCCTAAGGAGGTCAAAATGTACGTCTCCAAGTGTATTAAGGCATCCGAAGAGCGGAGATACCCTGGACTCCTTTCTCTGAGAACGTTAAAAAGTTCTCTTCGTTTGAAAGATGGTTCAGCACCTGGAATAAAATGATGCAGACAAAAATATGTATTTGTTTATATCTACATAGATGTTTCATGATCTTGAAGAAGGAAGAGATTGCTTTACAAAAATATGCATTTTCCATTAGAAAGTTGTGAGATCTAGGTACTTCCTGACATATGCACGGATATTTATGGACGTTTTCCAGAAAGGTGGAAGCCGGTGCAGCCAAAAACTTCATAGCGTACATACAGATTTGTCTCAATACTGGTAACATTGAAATCTCAGCGAGGACTTGCGGGGGAATTTTGTATGCCATTTTGCATGTTGCAAGTTCTTCAGGATTAGTTCCATTTTGGTATCCGAAGATGAATGCTCACCAGAAAATGAACCCGTGAAGTCTAAATTAAATGCAGGCATGAATTAAGAGTACTTACCTGTAGGCACTTTCTCCATGAAATCTTTCTTGCACGCGTTGATACACAGCTTAGTTTTACCGTTGCAATGCGAACGAATATTTTTGACCGAAAACGACATTCACAGAGAAAGCGTCTTAACCTAAGATTCAACCTGTAAAGGCTAATATATAATACTAGCGAGTTTGTTTGCCCTTCGGGCAAACAAACTCGCTGTGGTCGAGCCTTCGGCTCTCCATTGCCTAGGATAGCGATTAATTCATTTATTCTAGTCAGTCAGTCAGTCAGTCAGTCACGATCGTCTATATATATTAGATAGATAGAAAACCTAAGATGTTGCGTTTCTGGCTCTCCAGACATTTATTTATGATTGCACGTTAACAATATATCAAATTTTCAAAGTTGACTTTTAGACTTTCCGCCAGGTTTTGCCCTGTTTCGACCCACTGTGTTGCACTCCCTCGACTCGTTTCGTCGTCGTGGAGCGCATGATGCACGCCGAGCGAGAATGTTTCTCCAGCGAGGCCGAGGTCTGGAGAGTTTTACCAAAAAAAAACTCCGAGATGCATTTCTCGGCTTCCGGGAGAAATGCGCCACGTTTCCCCTCCTCGAGTGTCTACCGATCCGGATTCTTTTATGCATCGAGTAAATACGACTTCGCGATAAACATTCGCACGGTTTCTGCAATCTGCGATAAAACGCCTCATCCTCGGCAAAAGCATTCTCGGCAGAAAGAAACCGCTCGAGTATGTTTTGAAGATAAGATAAAATTAGTCGTGGAAAACGGCGTTCGTATTTGCAGTAAAATGGCGGCACGACGCCGACTCACCTCCCACGTGCGTTTCGAGGCCGGTCCCCAATTAACATTTATTTGAACAGAACTTAGTATCCCGCATCGTTTTTGTCCCGGTATTTATTCGGAGTACACAAAGTTTCCCGACTCGTATGGACGCGAGGAAAAAAAATGGACAAAGACCGAAAACTAGTAGAGAACTTGGACCGCGAGAGGTCGAGAGGTCGCAACGGAACGAAATCCTAACACCCCTTTCTACGAGGAGAAACCTGCGATCGGGAATTTTGGAATTCGGGCGTTCGTCTCCCGACCGAACTTCGATGGACCCGAGAAGAAATAACGCGATTCCTCCCGAAAACTCGCTCGAGCGATACTCGAGGACGACTCGCGGATTCTCATCGATCCGAACCGGATAGGTGAAATCTGATGCTTCGGCCCAGAACGTATCTCTAATTGATGTTTGATGACCGTGAAATCGCCCTCCGCAGAGTACCGGATTAGGCTTGGGGACGGTCTAGTACAGGGGTTTGACACCCCTGACGTACGGCCCGCGGGCCGGATGGGCCGGATCCGGCCCGCGGAGGTGGTTCATCCGGCCCGCCGTTTGTTTTAGAAATTTCTGCTTGGATAGACTGTCACCACAAATTTCAATGGAAAATTATGGGTGCGGCCCGCAGGCATCTTCAGGGTAAGGAACGCGGCCCTCCTACCGATTTGAGTTTGACACCCCTGGTCTAGTAGAAGCCAGAGCGCAAGAGCCATCAGGGAGGAGCGTTCGCCCGTCGCAAAGGAGCGGTGCCACACGAGTGATTCTTGCACCGTCTCGGACCGACTCCTCTCTTCCACGGATGATCTTTTGGCCGAAAGAGCATGCCGAAGGGGTTCGTCGGTGTTTCGCGGATCTCCTTCGGGCCGACGAAGGTGCGCTCGGACGGGAGCCGCGGGTATCGCCACGGGAACGCGGCGTCGACGGTGGAACACCAAAGGGGTATTCTTCCTCGCACGGGGATCGCAGGAACGGAGTCGGAGCCGGAGGATCGAGTCGGCGACTCTTTCGCGGCGTGCCCGAGGCGAGGACGAGCGAGCGAGCGAGCTCCTTTCCCGTTCTTCTCGCACGCGGAAAGGGAATCGTCGACGTCACCCGGGCCCGAGGGGGGCCATCACGAGCGGTGACGAGGCGAACGCGATTCTCTTTGCCTTTTCGTCCGGTCCAGACCGACGAGGCCGCGGATACGTTTCGCAGGAAATTTCAGGATCGCGACCCGGGTCGCGGCTCGCTCGAAGATCCCGTACGGTGCGCCCTCGGCGCGAGGCGGCCCCACCGGAACGCGTGGAGAAGTCCCGGGACCGAGGGATCCGGTTCCCGAGCGATCGGCGATACGGAAACGAGATCGACTGTGGCACGTCCGAGGCTTTTGCACTCTCGAGGGAGTCGAGTCGGACGCTTCCGAGGAGACTCGCCGCCTCGATTCCCCGGGTCTTCGTCTCCGAACCCCGAGGGGTCGGAGAGTCTCGACCGTGGACCGAACCTTCTCCCACGATCGTGAACTTCGGGCACCGATCGAAAGAACGAAGGGGTACGAGTCGCTTCGATGGGTTTCTCGCCTTCGGGTGAGAAACCCGGCCCCGTCCAAAATAGAAAGCCGAGCGAACCTCGGGTGGAGCAGGAAGAAGCTACTTTCGGCGATCGAATCGCGTCGAGCCCGGTAGATTCTGACGTCGACCGCATGCCGACCGCATGCCCCCCGAGAGACCCCCCCCCCAAAAAAAAAATAGTCTCTCGATCCGAGACGGCCAGTGAAAGACCAGTCGTCGGACTTCGTAAAGGGACGTCCATCGATCTCGAACTCGGTTCACTTTTCTCGGGGGAAAAATCTGGAGCCTTTCCCCGCGAACGCGTCGGTTTCGTGGATGGAAGAGAATTGTTCGGAGGCTCCCGTATCCTCTATCGGACGGAATTCCCCGTTCCTCCCGCCGATCGTGGAAAGAGTGACCGCTTGCGACCGGACTCCAAGAGAGGAGGCCGAATACCGACCGGACTCCGCGAGAGGAGACCGAATACGGAAGACGGGGCGATTCGGGCCGGAGCGATTCGGCCGTCTCGTCTCGCCCTTCGAGCCCGGATGCACGGAAAAAAAATTCCGCAACGCTGCGGTTCCATCGGGTTAGGAAATCCAGACGTTCCGGTCGACGAGGACGGTCCCGAGCCGCAAAAATACCATCGTCTCGAGATACCGTCCGGCTGGAAGGAAGCGCCAGTCGACTCCAACTTAAAAAAAAAACGATAAAAGGCCGTTGCACGCACGAGCGAGCAAACGCCTTCGCAACCGACACAGGCCAACGAAGGAAAACGTAATTACGAGGTGGACGGGGAGTCGTTTCCGAGAGACAAAGAGGGGGAAAAACGCCTGGAGCCCAGAGGTCCATTGGAGGAGACGACCCCATCCCTCCGAGAACGGATTCCGAGGCTCAAACGATGCGTTTCCGAAACGAAGAGAGGTCTCGTTTCTTCGATCGGTCTCACTCGTACCGCAATCCCTGCCTTTTCTCATTTTCCCGAGAGATTCGCCTCGGAAGGGCACGAGTTCGACGGCGAACGATCGCCGATCTTCGTCTCGCGGAGGAAAGGAAAAATGAAAAATTGCGGGCACGAAAAAAGGCGCCGGACGCAGGAAGAGACGAGCTCGGAAGAGGAGTTCGGAGAAGTCGGAAGCCGCCGAGGAGTCGATCCCAAACGACCGCATCGTATCCTCGAGGGTCGTGAGAGAGGCCTTTAAGAACTTCACTCCGGACTCCGTTTTCCCTTCGAAAGCAACCCTTGACACGCGGTGAAATGATTTTTCTCCTCCCACGCCGAGCAGGTCGTGATGGACTTTCCCCACGCGGGACGAGGTCGCGACCCCACCCCGACCCACGAGAGAGCCTCACCGTCGGATGAGATTGTGGCTGAGGTAGAGGCGCTGCAGGAGGGGAAGGGAAGGAAGCGGCGTCTCCGAGGACTTGATCTTGTTCCGACGGAGGTTCAATTCCACGAGGCGAGGGAGGTTCTCGAGGCCCTGGATGCACGAGATGCGATTCCCCGCCAGGTTCACCACCCTCAAGTTCGCGTGGTTCTCCAGACCCGCCAGACTGCTCACCTGAAACGGTCGCGTCTCGAAATCGAAACGTCGAACGCCCGATCGACTCGGAAGGCGCGATATCGAGAGAGACGCCGGCATGAGATCCGCTCGTGTCGACTCGGATCGCTTCGAATCGACTCGAATCGACTGGTAATCGAAAAAAAATTTCCCCGAGAACCATCTGTGGTGATACGGAGATAAATTTCGTACGTGGCTCGGCTTCGTAAACATCGTCGGAAGTTTTATGGAATCTTTGATCAGAGGCATCCGAAATCATCGTGTGAAGGTCACGAAAAAATAGTGAATGATGATGGGTATCACGATCGTCATGATTCCACGGTAACGAATAGCAAAGGGCAAGTAATAGGGATTTTGTTGGTATCTATCGAATCTGGAAGAGGGAAAAATGTTTATTCCGAGGAAGTCGATTTGCATACCTGATTGCTGTGAAGGTCAAGGACTTGCAAGTTTGGCAACCCTGCCAGGCCCGACACTCGAGTCATCCTGTCCCGAATAAAATGTTCCGCGATGAAGGAAGCAGAAGAGAAAGCACGGGAGCAAGGAAACATCGACTCGTTTTAATGACACTCGATGAGAAAAGAAAGCACGACACGAAGAAAGAATGAGCAGTTTGAACGCCTCGTAATGGGCTACAGTTGGAAAAAATGCCCAGACGGGATTCTTTCCTCGAGCATCACTGGGATAGCGAGCAGAAAAGCAAGCACGTGGAAAATTAAGCAAATGAGAACCAAAAAGATAATAAATATGCCGGTAGAATGACTCCCACTCGTTTCCGTTGTCCACCCCACCGCAAAAAATAAAACCAGTAGCTAATGTAACTTGAGCAAGAAAATCCTCGAACAGGAACGGAAGGAACTAATGGAACGAATCTAATTCTATACCACTTGCATTCACATTTATTTCCATCTCTCCAAATCGCCTGAGTCTCGCCCAAAAAATACGAGTAATTAAATTTCGTCTGCAGATTTCTTCAACCCTTCCCGTTACAAAAATTCCACTTCGCATTCCTCTGAGAGCATCAGGAGGAAAGGAATTGGGCCTGCTTTTTACCGTCTGAGCACAGAATCGCTCCAATCAATTTTGAAGCTAACAGGAACTCGTGTTTGGCAGGTGTCAATTTCATTCCGCTATTCCACTCCCCCCCTTGGGTAGCCCCACTGGGGGGAATTTTCGGAGGAAATAGGCCTACCTTAACTCAAAGAATGAGATGGATTTGTTGAGAATGATACGTGCCCTTTCCGTCGTCGGTGATGCATTTTCCTTGTGAAAAATGAAATATGTTGATTTAGGCTCCTCCTAGGAGCTGTCGTCCCGTATACTACGGCTGCCGGATATCGTGCTGGGGTCACGTCGGATTCGCGACTACTTCTGCTTCCGTATCCCTCCCTGGGTCTTCCGTTTTTCGATATATCGTACGTCTGTGACGAGTTCACGGAACGAGATGAGATCGAACAGTAGTTAGCAACGGCCGATCGATGCGATACGATATGGATAAATCGTGCATGGACATCCCTGCTCGTGATGGCGTCCAACAATCATTCAAATTCCTTCGGCAGTCTGTTCACAGACGTCCTCGTCGAGATGGTGCGAGAAGTTCAAGGTAGGCCCATTATTGGCCTAACTTTAAGACCAGACTCTTGTTTTATTCTTTTCACCGCTCCTTTCTCTGGAAGAGCGAAAATTGAGAAAATTTCAGTAATATTTCTCTCTTTTCACTCTTATTTGAGAAAAAGAGGGGAAACTAGTGTTACCGCACGCCACTCTTGTGTATATAGGCCTACTTGGTCCGTAAGTCTGATTCTTTCCAACGAAAGAGGTAGGCTTCAACCTCGCCTCAAGACGGTCCGTGGGTTAGGCCTAGACCGGTCCCGTGTCTCTTCTCGTAATTCTTAATTAGTTATTCCTGTTACCATTTTGGCCGAGGCATCGAGGATGTGGAAAGCGCTATAATCCCGGTAGAGGAAGATGTATTGAAAAAGGGGAAAGCCTCGAAAAAATACTTTTCACACTACTTCATTTCATTATGGGCTTGGATATGTCCACAGTTTAACATTTGCGGGGAGGGGGGGGGGGGGGGGGGGGNTCTGAGTTCCGTAGAGAAAAAGGGGGGGGGGGGGGGGGGGGGGGGGGGGGGGGGGGGTGGAGGATCCGAATTACTCCAGGAAAGGTGGCTTTCAAGTTTTAGTTTAAAATGTGGAGTGAAAAGCCGTAGAACCTAGCCTCGAGGAACGTAATCTAGCCAAACGGTACATTCAGGGCGTGAGAACTCCCAATTCTACGAGTTCTCTGAGACACTTTTTTGGCACCTTTGAGGCTGGAGTTCTTTTGCCGCGGACGAGCTTTCACCACTGGAAAATTTTCGAGGGGGAGAGAGAGAGAGAGGAGGGAATGAAGATGGAAGGAGGGAGAGGTCGAGGAAAGGAAGTGGTCGGATGAGATCGCCACGGCGATCCGGCACTTCAATCTCCCGACTCCATAAAACCATCGCGATGACACGACCCGCACCCGTCCGGCCTCCACCGTCTTCTCCTAAAGGGGGTCGGCTGGGACGCGCCCGAGCACTAAGCATTATTTACGCGACGGTCCGTTCTCCCCTTCCCTCGCGTGCGAACAGACTCCACACGTGGAAGATTCCTCGTTTCCATCATCCTACTCGAGAACCGATGTGGAAGCGACCGCGGTCCACATCGAGTCCACGAGAAACAGTTGTTGAGTCTCGCGATGGGACGGGTCCGGACGGGTCGGGGGCATCGCACCCGAGAAAACCAGAGTCTGGTCTCGCGGGCCCGTTCACCCATCCGCATCGTTTCCTCGAGCATTTATATTTTACGCTTGCAGTCGCGATACGGATCTCACTTTCCGGTCCGAGCGACATTGTGCATTTTCCGAGCCAACGCCTTCGCCGTTTCCTGGCTATTTCCTTTCTGGCACGGGCTCAAAATCCCATCCAGAAATTCGTCTCTCTCTCGGGACGGGTGAACGAGGATCGACATTTCCATCCATAAAATTCGTATCGGAATGCAATCGTGACGACTCCGAAGGTGCGACGATCGACGAGGCCACTCGTCGATCATCACCCTTAAGATCCAACGAAATCCATTAGAAATCCCATCAGTTTCTGTTTTTACAAAGCTGTAGTCCAAAGGATTTTTGTACACGAAAAGGTGGATTTTTTTTGTTGCCCTTATTGTGTTTACAAAGACGACTCAAGGGGTTCTTCGAGGTAGAAAGGGAAGAATTCCCTGTCGGGTTCCGATCACATTTCCGAAACAAAAACTTTACAGGAATCCTATGGGATTTTTCACGCGAGAGAGAGAGAGAGGGAGAGAAATATTTTCCAAACTGAAAGGTTCTCCTTGACGTGTGCCCGACCGATGATTGCCATCGTCGACGACATAAAACCTCGCATTCCGTAAAAGATGCCTAAAGATTAAAAAACAGGGAGGCATCGTCCAAAGGTACAATTAAGAGACGTATAAACCGACTCCTCCGGCGTTACGATTCTTTTGCGGGGAAATATCCCCAATCGAGACTTGTATCGTATCGGTCGTGTCACGTTCGAAAAATGAAGGGAAGATACGAGGGTGGTTCCATAACTTAACTGCACTTTTCGTTCCAGAAAATGAATGGTACGTCTGATCTTTATAAAAATACGCCTCCTTCTCGAGGTATTCCCCTCCTACACGTACGTACTCGTCACATCGCCATGGCAACGCCTGAATGCCAGAGGCATTTCGATCCAGGTTAGAAGAGCAGAAAAGGTTGGGCTACATCCCAGCGAGGGATGGGGAGAGAGAGTCATGAACGTCACCGGTATACACTCTCCTCGGCTGACTGATAAAATCTCATTTTCCCAGTCTATTTCTCCTTTGTTAAAATGTCACATCGATCGGTCCTTCTTGCCATATCACCTCGTACTTAGCGCCTCCATTTTATCGCGCTCGACCGATTGCATCTCTCGATCGTGGCACTGGGCTCATAGCATTCGCAGATGCCGATC